GATCGCCATACTTTATCTCTGTTATATATAACAAAGCCGGTAAAGTAACAATCAAATTTAATATCGTATAAATAATTTGAATATGACAAACTCTACATAAATTATTCTTTAATATTTAACCTATTATTTGAATAATTTAATTATTAAAATTTAGTGTAAAAATTAAACTTCATATGTACTGTACATGTATAAAGTTATAAAATGTGGCATTTTAACTGATAAACAGGCTACATTTCTGTTTACATTATATCTAATTAATGTTTCAGGTTTTTAATTAAAAAATAAAAAATTCGAAAAACCGGTTGAGTATGTAAGTTTAATAAACGATTTTTCGATGACATTGAAACTCAATTGTTGTTATTCGACGTTGGTAATACACATTGTAGAAAATCTGTCGTATAAAAGTATTACGAGGTAAGAATCGTGAAATTTTCATAGCTATGAGATTACAGATGATTCGAGAAACCTTATAACTAATCTACAATAAACATAGCAAAGTTAATATGTAAGTTTATTGATTTAGTTAAGGATAATTAATTTTTCATTAATTCAGTTTTTATATATATTCAATACAACTTCTGTACTAGTTTGTTAAAGCAACAATTAACATAAGCAACTGTTTCATAAAACGATATGCATTTCGAGCCTATTTCCCTTCCTTTAAGTGTAATTTCTTAAGAAGTTTCTATATAATATCTTATTCCAGTGGTTCACAACCGGGGGTACATATACCCACGGGGGTACTAATGTAAATCAAAGGGGTACATCTAACTTTCATTATAAAATGGCGTATGTTAATCAATTTGCTTTAAATTATTAACACAAGAAACAAGAAACGAAAAAAACTTGCTTCAGAATATCCCAGTGTGAACACAGATTTCCCTTTTAACAGTCTAAATAACTTGTTTATCCACTTGATTTGTCTGTCTATTGGTGCAATTAGATTTGAGTAAACCTGTAGTCTAGTAAAATTATGGTTTAACTGAGCATTAATTATTTCTCGATAAGATTGGGGCTTTTCGTGTTTTTACTGGACTACTGGTTTTAGGAATAACGAGGCCTTGATCGTACCCCACCATGCAATGCGTATCACTGCATGCGCGCTTACTTGATATTTAGCAAATTTAGATGTTACATTTGTTACAAAAATTGAAAAATTCATGTATTGTAGAATAATTTAAATTTTCTTTATCGTTAATCATAATGATTTATTTTTAGGAAATGTAATTTATGCATGTATTGTGATTTTATATACTATACTTATCAAGTAATAATAAATAAATGTATGTATTTGATTAAATTTATTATTATTTATGTAAAATAAGTAATTCACTTTTAGTTATAGTTAGAGTTTTTTTCTGGCACTCAGTTATAAGGACTGTATACATCTAATGTAGTAATTATAAAATTTACATACATAAATATAAGGAGTACTTGGGAAACAACTAATGGGCTAATGGGGTACATCAACAAAAAGGTTAAGAATCACTGTCTTATTCAATACTGTATAACATTATATAACACTGAAGTTCTTTTATGTGAAATATTATAAAAGAGTACCTTGTGTTGGTTGCTGCAACTGAAAAAAACTACTAGATCAGTTTTATTTAATTTACTAAAAAGTTTTTAAATGTTGCCGGAAAAGTTGAGCAACCGCTGCTAGTTTATTTTTATTTATCTTTATAGAATTTAACCCATTATATCCCAAATTATTTTTTGCCTAATAAGTTATAATACTTATAATTATCATGTGATTAATATAATAACTTCGGAAATGAGTGTAATNCAACTTGCTGCTAGTTTATTTTTATTTATCTTTATAGAATTTAACCCATTATATCCCAAATTATTTTTTGCTTAATAAGTTATAGGCCTAATACTTATAATTATTATGTAATTAATATAATAACTTCGGAAATGAGTGTAATAAAAAGTTTTCACAAAGTTATGTAATAAGTATATACTGTATTATAAAAATCGAGCAACGAGTTGCTTAACTTTCGCCGCGACATTTAAAATTGCGTGTGTGGTACCATTTGTTATGATATTTTACTTTAATACTTTTTCCCATTTTACAATAATTAAAAATGAAAAAACCTTTATTTTGAGCATAAGAATGGGTTTTATAAACAAATATGTAAATGCTAATAACAAGTAAAGTCTCATTGTACTCAAGATATAAAACACGGCCTCCTTTATCTCCCCATTACGTCGACGTTTAATTACTAAATCTTAACAGTATTAATACTTCCTGCAAAATTTCAGAAATTTTCGACAAAAAAACGAGTTATTACGCTTCAAAAAGAGTGAAAAAAAATTGTGCGCCATATACACATAGGCACGCACGCATACATCTACAACGCATCTCACACACTTACACAAACACCCATACATACAAGAAAATATTCGAATGTTTTATATTTTTCGATGTCTCGAGGGCCCGAGTCCAATAATGTAAAAATCTTGCAGGTCAGTTTTTGGCCGATCGCCGTACTTTTCCTCTGTTATGTGTAACAGAGCCAGGAAAGTGATAAGAAATACGCTAAAAAATATTGTAGGCCAGATCGGCTCGAATAAAACAACGTCTCGCACGTGGGTTTATATTGATATTTTGGTATCACGATAGGCTCTTTTTTCGATAAAACTGTTTATTGTAAGGAAACGACTCTTACACAATACTCAGTTTTTACCAAGAGTTTGACGAATTTCCAGGTTCGATCGATAGATGTGCACGCTGAGAGATTTTGTCGAAAAGACATGGAAAGTTTCTTATCTGCAGAATAGAGATGTTGACAGTTCTCGTCGAAGAAAGGCACAGGCACACAAGCAGTTCGACAAATGAAGAAGAGTCGACGGCGACGAGGAATACGGCAGAGCACGAGATTAATCTAAACAAGCCAACTGGCCTGATAGATGCACGAGCAACAAGGTTTGGTGTTCTTGGGACATTGGACTTTGTTACATCTGTCTTTCCGATCGTACATTCGGGATTGGTTTCGTTCTTTAGTCCTCAACTGCTGATTGTTCTCTAACCTTTACGATACCATCTGCAGATGTATACTATCTTGAGACAATATATCATATAAAGAGTTATGTAACTTTGCTTCGAAAACTATTATTTCAAGATAGCTGTCGTTAGAAATTCTATTTATTAAAAGAAATTATTATTTTATTTTTTCAATTAGAATTCTTTGCTTTCGGGAGAGCTTTTAGGTGAGAGATCAACCAGATGCGGTTTCTCACAAAAATACATAAATTATAAATCCGGTGATAGTATCTATTCTTGTGGTAAACCGATCGTTGTAATTACTAAACATGAGATAAAAGTGTCAACCTTTATAGAGTACTTTCTATTTTATAAAAATTGACATCAGCCAAGACAGAGAATTACTCGAACCTCATTGAAATAACGTTTTAATTTTGGCAGCTGTAAATTAATTGATTCAAATGCTTTAGACTTGATTGATGTGTAGGCTAAATTATGTTATTTTATGATGTAAAATAAATCATTTAGACCTAAATTAAAATTATTAGAAAAGAAATCTCAAATTAAATAAATGATAATTGTTTTAAATTTCATTTTAAAAAACAATCTTTAAATATTTTTATAATATAAAAATTATGTTGTAAGTTATAAGAAATCAATTTATGATTGCTAAAAGCAGTGATGAGAGAACTTTTCTTGATGAATATTGTAAGTTAACTTGACAGGCTTTCGACTGGTATTTTTTTTACGGAGTTACATGCTTTAAGAATGCCGAATGTCACCATACTCTACAACTGCTATTATACTAAGTATTAAAATATAATATAAACGAACTAGTCATACCAACATATAATTGTGGCCCGTATTCATCTTTTAAATGATGAAGTTTAGTTTAAATGTCCTTAGTCACGGACAGGTTAATTAGAGTTGCACAATAGCACGAGATAGTAAACGGAGACAGAATTAATTATCAAAGTATTATAGACTTGACTGGTGGCGGGAAGACAAAACTACTTCAAGGCATCAAAACATGTAAATAATCTGCCAAAGAGGAAACCTGCCTAATCAAACCTACCTGTACACTACATATATTGAAATTATATTTTTAATTTTTAATTTAAAAAGATATAAATCAGTTAATATTTAAAATAATACAAACATCCATAAAACAGTTTACAATTTTGGTTAAAAGAAAACATTCAAATAACTTTTTATTGATTGTATACATTTATTTGCACTTAGTACGCCCTTTAATGATATTTAACAAGAAAATGTATTAGGTTACACATCACACTTTTAAATAAGTCTGAAAAGCGGAGAACGAAGCGAGCAAACTACCTTCAAAGCTTCGCAAAACGTGCTTCGGCGATTTGTTGAGAAATAATGATACGAGCAATTTAAACGAAATTTTGCGCATTAATAAAAGTAAAATAACCTGTCGTAAAGGATGTCGAATTTTAAAATTGAACATAGTACCAGAGATATCGGGGGTCATCCCCATGTGAAGTCAAAAAGAAACGCTCACCTTGTTGGTTAAATATTTTGGATTTAACATACAAGAATTAATAAAGAAATAAACGAAAATAAACGAAATAAAAATTAATATATGTAAATATAAAAGAAGTATGGAACGAACAAATACATTTTTTAGTGATAATAAATTCAAGAATCATTAAATTTGACAAAACTAAATAAATAATAGTGATGGATGTTGAAAATTACAATTCGATTGTAGATGAAGTTTAAGAAATAAAAGTTTCGAGGTTAAATATTCATTTCTCTTCTATTAGAACCTTGAGATTAAAAATACCACACTATAAAAAAACCAAAATTGCCTGTAAATTAGTAGAAAAAATCGACATTTTGTAGAAAAGATTATTTTACTACACGAAACAAACCCCTTTGGGCTATAAAATAACTTCTGATTTTATTAAAACTAACTTTTCTTTATGTTTGATTTTATTTTTAAATTAACCCCTATACTATTTCGTATTTTAAGAAACATTTTTCTCATTTATCATATAGAAGAGAAGGTGGTATTACGGAACACTGCGGGTATTATGGAACCACCCTATTTCGAACTGATAATAAAGGTGAACTGTAGCGGAATGTGGCTGAACTGAACTAGGCAGACATCCATAGTAAGGGGAAAACTCGTTTTACTTCAGTTAAACGGTTGTTCGCATTTAATCAGCAAATTTGTTTTTTTCAAAATTCGCAAGTTTTGAATGCTAAGTGAATTTAATTATTTTTAAAATATAAATCGCGTAGTTGTAGGTTCACTGGTGCATGTATTTCGTTCCAGAGACTTAGGGGTACATATTAATCTGTGTGATGTTCACGTTTTTTAAATTTTGGTCTTGACAGACATAAGTTAATTCGAGATGGCGATGCGTGAAATACGGACCCCATTGGTGCTTTTACAGTA